TCTCATCCTGGCTGGGAAGGGTGGGCAACCGCGGGGAATCAAACCCCGTACCTCTGGTTTCCCAGACGCGCAGAGGTTAACGCAGACGCGGTAACCGCTACACTACTAGTACATCATGCTTCTGCTTTCTTACTTCTCAGCGTGACAGAGCTTGTCGCATGCTCGAGTCTATCGGAGCGACATCCGGAATTTTAGGACATCATTACCGTGCAGGGTCAGCACAGCAGCAGAATTCCTGACAAAGAGGAAGAACCCCCGCTGCAACGGACGATGGTCATGGTGGTCTTAACCAGTCCTTACATGTAAAAGTGTTGAAAAAGTATGTGGCCAAAAGGTGTCATAGGGAAATGGATGTACAAATTCTGTCTCCTCTAGACTTGTCCTGCCATTTGGCAGTTTAGAGTGCGCGATTTTTAAATCGAATGGTAAAAGCTTAGCGGCGAGGCTATTCATGAACAGGCATCCGAGCAAGGCCGCGCCACGTTTCACTCCGGAGGCAGCTGGAAAGCTTGCTCTGGAAAGATGCCTTCTCTCGGACGCTGGGCGTCCGTGGAAAGCATGGGACTCCTGTGGCAAATTAAGAGCACTGTTGGAGCTAGACGAGATCGAGTCGGGTCGTCAGTGGCCCGTCCTGAACTGATTGGCCCGCCACTACGCGGGTTAGTCACGCCGCTGGGAGGGTCCCCCGTCAGGGCGTTGCTTTGCGTCGGTGCTCGCACCAGCTGGGTCCGCTCTCGCCCTGGCTGTGCATCGCACCGCCTGAGATACGCATTACACCAGCTGCGGGCCCCGAGTGGCCGGACCGTTTTTGCGCGCGCCCCCGCGCCAACGCGCATTCCGTATTGCGCGCGCCGCTGCCGCCGACTCTTTGGCAAAGTTGGGAATGGGCGGTGGGAGCGCACACCTGGCGCCATGGGGGGAGTTTGTGCCGGTCGACTTGCGCTGGCGTCGATCTAAGAGACTTGTGTGAGTTCGGTGCAATGGTGTGCAGAACGCGTCATTGGGCTTCATCCCGCCGTGTCTGAGATTGTGGGCTAGTGTGGGCAGCCGCGCACAGTCACGCTTGCTCACGAAGGGAAAATTGAATTTACGATGCAAGTGCACTTGAGGAAATGGTCCTTGTTACGGTCCTTAAGGTGGTTCGCCAGGTACAAAGATATCCCGCAAAATAAACGAGCCATTGTCTCCTCTAAGATTGTAGGGGCCAAATATGTGTTCGTCTCCTTTCAAGGGGTTGGGAGAGTCCTTGGATGATTTTTCGCCGATGATGACGTGATACTGTGCTGGGTACCGACGTTTGCAACGTTTTTGGCAGCATATGTAGACACGCATACCGGCACCCAAGAAAAGAACGGAATTTCGTTATCGATATCGCGTCACAAAATATTTCGTGTGCCGCTCGTCGAGTGGTAAGTGCAGTTTGAAGGAGGAACAGAGCAAGCCATTGCAAGCGCTTGCATGCATAACAGGCCAGCTGCTTAGCCGCGACGTAAGAGCTGGCACCGAAATATCGCCCCAGGTGCTACCTGAAGCTGCCACCGGGACAGCGCTGTCCCGTGTAGATTCAACACACCTGGGTTTACGGCATAACTGCGATCCATTCGATGCGCCGTAATGGTCATACTCAAGCCCCGGAATGCGACCGGATCAAGCGACCAGACAGGCGATTGAAAAAAACACGTGCGCATTGGTCTCGTCCGATGGCTTGATGTCGTGATGGCGTGACGTCATCACAGGTGCGGCGCTGTGTTCCTGGCAGATGGCCCATCATGGATTATTTATGAAACCCTGATAGCTTCTTGGATGGTCTCCGTGTTATTTTCAACAAGAATGATGATTTGAGTTTCGGTGCGCGCCGACGACGGAGGTCATTCTGCGCCCATACCTAAAGTTAGAAGTGCAACGTTTTAACAAAACGGAGGCAAAAAGTGTTGAAAACATGACGCCGGCTCTCGACTAGCACGCGTCAAGTGCTGTAGTTGATCCCCGAGGCGTTGCCGTCTCGATGTGCATCACGACTCGGTCGCACAGCTGCCGCCCCAGGTGTTTTTGCTGCCCGTCGAGGCGGCTCGAATCGCAGAGTCCGGCGACATGCGGGGATGCCGGAGCACGCTGTCGCCGGTGGCCGTGCGGGCCGGGCCTTCCCCGCCGGCCGGCGGGGTGCCCGCCGGCCGTGGGGCACCCCGCCGGTGCTGGAGAGGGCGCCGCCCAGCTGGCTGCCAGGGCCGTGCTCGTAACGGGCGACGGGCGCACGGGAGTGTAGCGAAACCCGCGTCAGCTGTTTTCGTGGATGAGGAAGTTACCACGAAGGCTTGGAGCCCGATGGGCCACTTTGTGTGTCATGCTTGTTGAGTGTGGGTTACAGCCACAGCCACGTCTGAAGCTGAATCACTGCCTGACTGATGAGGCGGCGGGTCAGATGAGCCACGAGCAAAGTCGCTCCCGCTCAAACCACATCAGAGGCGGGCCAGCTGCCATATTCCATGAGTCTTGAAATCATGAAAGCCGCTACAACCTCGTTCGACAAGACGTGTTTTCCTGCTGGCGGTTTTTTTGCCGAGCTGGTCTAAAGCAGCTTGTATGTGTGTACACCGGCCCCCTGGCTGTGACAGCGTCCGGCCGGGCGGCGGCGCCGGACCTGCGACCGAGTCGAGCTCCGGCGGCGGCGGCGGCGGCCGCGCCGGGCCACGGAACTCCCGCGCCCCGCTCGCAGCGCTGTCCATTATGAGCGCTGCACTCTCCGGAATGCCGCTCTTCGGTCCGTGGGCAGGGCGGCCTCGCGCTGGAAATGCCAGCCGTGTCGCTGGAAATGGCGACTACTGATGTCAGCAGGGGAAGCTCGGGGAACCCCCGCCCCCTCCTACCCGTTGCCTGCGATCGCCACCGTCGTTGCACCGCCGTGTTGGGATTGTTTGTTGACGCCAGATGCTTACCTGTTTGTTGGCCGGTTGCATGCGGGCGACCCCAGACGGGCTCTGTGTGTGTGGCGGCAATGCTCGGTGCCGGCGGCGACTGCTGGGCGCCTCCGAGCGGCCGTGTCTAGCGGTCTTGACCAGCCGCCGAGCGGCCGTGTCTCGCGGTCTTGACCAGCCGCCGCCGGCCCGGCCGGCCTCCGTCGCCGACCCGGGGCACGTGATGGCCGGCCTGCCGCGCGCCGGCCACCGAGGGGGGGGGGCAGAAGGGTGAGCTGACGCCGCCGGACACGGGCTGGGAGGGGTCCGCGGAGGGGTGAGGTGTCGCCGCCGGCCACGGTCCGGCAGGGGGAGGGATGCCGCCGCCGGCCTGGGCCCAGGAGGGGACAGCGTGCGTGGAGGGCAGACGACGCCGCCGGCTGTTGATCGGCCGCCGTCAGGGCGGTGGGGAGGGGGGAGGGTGGCGGAAGCGGCGCGTGCGCTGAAGCGAGACTGGTCGTCCGCACCGCCCTGGCGCTGGGAGCTGCTGCTGTCCGCCGCTGGCTGCTGCCGCCCCCAGCTGTCATAGTGCTTGTCTTAATTGGGTACGAACTCACCGCTGGTGATTTCCCTCGGTGAAATATCCCACACGGTCTGTCTATGATTTTGCGTAGTTTTGGCGTTTGTGGTTGAATCTCGCGAAATAATTTAGCTGGTCATGGGCTAGTGTGTGCGCGGGCATCAGTGTCTAATGCCTCACACCTGTCGATGATTAAATGATCAAGGAAATCAAATTGATTTTTTGATGCAGTAGTATTCCCTGTATTAATGCAGCATACTTACGTCTTATAAAAGTTTTGATCGTTTGGTGTAACTGGCGTTTTTACATGAGCCGCTGGGTTTAACCGTCTGTGTTTGGATGTCAAAGAAGGCAGAATGGGACCCTTCCCTCGCGGAGGACTACCCCGTAGAATATTGTAATCACCTGCCGTGGCCGGCCTTTCTACATCATGGTCGATGTGCGCCGAGAACCGGAAATGGGATATATCCGTTCAGCGGGTCAGCATCCTCGGTGTTAGCTATTCTAGCACGACGCCGTACGTTATGGGCCGTGTTTGTATGTTTTCCAGGTGTTTGTGGAACGGTCTTTCCGCGTCGCGTCTCTCCGGCATACTCTCATCATCACAAATGCCGTTGTGCCCTCTCCCTTTCCCCTTTCTCGCGCCACCAACGCAGGTGCTGTGGCAGCCACGATGCGTCCGTCCCGTTGGCGATGCCGCGACTGATTTGAGGTGGCACGACCCCGCGCGAAGGAGATCACGCGCCGGCGCTGCTGGCGGCGGGTGGCGACGGCGCGGGCCGCGATCCCCTTCACAGCCGGTGCTCATGGCCAGACTCGCCGTCACATGATCCGGCGACACGCCGCGCCGAGTCAGGCTTGCAACTGAAAGTGGTGCATCTATCGCCAGGTGTTCCAACTTGCATCGCACGGCGGGCGACACGGAGCGGCGCTACCATCTGCGCTATTACAAGACGGGCATGTGTGTGCACGACACGGACTCCAGAGGGCTCTGCGACAAGAACGGCGTGCACTGCGCGTTCGCTCATGGTCAGAACGATCTGAGGTAAGAAGACTGGGGCGCGCGATGCAGAGCCGAGGTCATTGTGCTATTCCTGGGAAAGTTACTCGCCTCGTGTTACCGAAAATCGCACTGGTAATGGGAAGACAGGATAGCTAAATATTATCCTGGCATTGGCTTGTCACAGCATGCTCTCTCTGCGAGAGATGTCGTTTAGGTCTTAGTATTGACCTCACCTTGGCGTCCGTTGGTGAGGGTGGGGGAGGGAGGGCGAAGGGGAAATACGGTGTGACCGGTGTCACGGCATGCCGGCGGAGCGAGGCGCGGGCCCCGCCGTCTGCGTGGCCGCGCGGTGTCGCGCCCCCCCCCCCCCCACCCACCCCCACCCCAGCCGCGTAGCCGCGTTCGACGCCGTGTCCCGGCGCCGCCAGGCCGCCCGTGTACGACAAGAAGGAGCAGGAGATGATCGACCACCCGGAGACGGACGTGAACGGCAGCGGTCCCAACAGCCTGACAAGGAGCGCACATGATGAGCGAGTATCCCAAGTGGCAGGGTCAGTGACCCCCGCGCCGAGGGTGGCGCTGGCGGTCGAGGCGGCCGGCGCCGGCGTGGGCCGTCCCCTTGGCGCCGCCGCCGCTGCCGTGCATTGCGCTGAACAGGCCCAGTAAAGCGGCGGCCGTCGCTGCTGTCTGTGTTTGGGCGTCTCTTCGTCGGGAATTTTGGCTCAGATGCCCGTGAACGCGTAAATGTATACACGTTTGAGCTGCGTTAGTCCCTCCGCTCCGCCTGCTTTCGCCATCATCCGGGATCCTCGCCACGATTCGAGCGCTCGTGTGGTCGGTGGGTGTTGTCCGCCGGTCTTCGTGTGAGGTCTTTGAGCCTGTCCCCCGGCCCACCGCCGGCACGCGCGGCTCTCCGCGCGGCCTCGTGACAACGCCCGTCACGTGTTATGTTCCAACGTCACTGACGGAGGGCCGGCTTCAGACACCAACTACGTGCTGGCCAACTACAAGACGGAGCCGTGCAAGAAGCCGCCGCGTCTCTGCCGCCAGGGCTACGCCTGCCCGCAGTTCCACAACCCGCGCGACAAGCGGCGCTCGCCGAAAAAGTACAAATACCGGTGAGTGGGGGGCCGGAGGGGCTCGCCGTCCGGGACGCTAGTGAGCGCCGGCGCGGGTTGAAGGGCGGCCGGGCGGCGCCCAGCCCGGGGGACGGTCACCGTGGCGGTGACGCGCCTCGGAGGCGGGTGGTCGACGGTCGCCAGCGGCGGAGAGCGCAAAGCCGCCGCCGGCCACGGGAGCGAGAAGCGAGGGGCTGGTGTGGGACCCGTCTGGGCGTCACTCACCGCGTCTGTCGGCGCGGGGAGCGCGCCTTCGGTGCTACCGTGGACCGGCCGGCGGCCCTGCCGGCCCGGTGACCGTTGCCGCCTCCCCCCCCCCCCCGTGCCGCGCTGACAGGTCCCCCGGTCCGGACAGGTCCACGCCGTGCCCGAACGTGAAGCAGGGCGACGAGTGGGGCGACCCGAACAGCTGCGAGCACGGCGACGGCTGCCAGTACTGCCACACGCGCACCGAGCAACAGTTCCACCCGGAGATCTACAAGTCGACGCGCTGCAACGACGTGCAGCAGAACGGCTACTGCCCGCGCGCCGCCTTCTGCGCCTTCGCGCACGTCGAGAGTGAGTGGCGCCGCCGGCTGGTGGGGCGCTGCCGGGCGCGCGCGCGGACGATCGCCGTCGGTGGCCACGGCCCGAGCTGGTGGCGGTGTCATACTGGGACTGAATGGCGGCAGCCGTGTGGAGGGGTCGGGTGGGCCGACTGTGTGCCGTGGTTGCTTCTCTGTGGTCGATCTTAAGCGACTCTGCGCCGCTGGCCGGACGGCCGGCGGCCGTCCCAGCCGCGAGACCTGGCCTGACTATAGACGGCCGGCTAGAGCTGAAGGTATAACATCTGACCTGTTCTGTCGGCACACGGGAGGCGCTGATCTGACGTGACCCTCGGCAGATGGGCGGTGCTGATCTGGCCTGACCTGGTGGCAGGGGATGTGCTGATCTAGCCTGAGCTGTCGGCAGATGGGAGGTGCTGACCCGATCTGACCTCTCGGCAGACGGGCGGTGCTGATCTGGCCTGACCTGCTGGCAGGGGAGGTGCTGATCTGACCTGACCTCCCGGCAGACGAGATGGTGACGAGCAGGGAGGTGGGCGCGCCGGGCCTCACCTGCCTGGCGGATATCGTGTCGTCGGCGCTGCCGCAGGACGAGGGCGGCTCGGTGCGCAAGATCTCGGACCACGGCGACGGGCCGGGTCACAAGCCGCAGCGCAACGGCCGGCTCTCGCTGGTCAGTGGGGCGCGCCGCCGCATGCCGTCGTGGTCACGGGCGAGGCAACGCAACTGCTGGAAGGACAGGCGCAGTCGGGGCAGTGGCTCGAGCTTAACCCGGCGAGTGTGTAGGTCTGGGGTAAACAGTCGAGTCATGAGGATTTCCCCATCCGCTCACAGCCGGTGGGATGCCCCAGGCGGCGCCGGGTGCGGCTCTCTAGCTGTGCATTTTGCCAGGTCCGGGCAGCGTGGCCTTCGGACGTAACCCGTCCGCCGCCTAGGTCGCAGCTCCCGCGCGTGGCGTACGCCCGACAGGGCCATCCGAGGCGACCCCGTCGGGCGGGGCCGTCTGATCGCGCCTCTGACCGCAGCCAGCGTCTGACCCCCCTCCGCCTCGGCGGGCGGGGCCGTCTGATGGCGCCTCTGACCGCAGCCAGCAGTCTGACCTCCCTCCGCCTCGGCGGGCGGG